GCATACATTCCATAACTGCAATATTGCATTTTATTCTTTCCTAGCACTTATCACTACCATACGTCACTGATTTTTAAGACACATTTTAACATCTCTGAAACAGGGATGTCATAAAACAGGTGGAATGGTAATTTCATTGGTGTTTTTTGTCTTCAGGCTATGTAAAAATAATGGTGTGATTTATAACTGTTTTAGATTATCTTATGTTGGATGGTCAAAATCTTATTTGTAAAATTGTTTACTTGTTTATTGTGTCACCTCCCATTAGAATGTAAGCTCCATGAAAGCAAGGACCATGTCTCTTCCATTGCTGTTTCTTTCACCTACTGCTCCTAGAACATTGCTCTCACACGGTGGGTACTTAACAAACAAGTACTTGCTGAGGGAAAATGGGTTAGAATTATGTTGTCCTTGACCAGGCTGCTTGCCCTGGTCCCCAGGGCCTCCTTTCTAAGTGTGCCAGCACCTGTTCTTCCTGGTCATATGACCCTTTACAGCATGACCATTACCAAGGGGACTGCCTGTTTCATGCACATCACACATTGATCACCCATACCCACATGGATTTCAGGACCACTCAGTGCTCTCCTCCCTCCCATGTCTCAGAGGCTGGTACATCTCAGAGAGTCCACTGGGATATGAGGTAGGGAGGAGGGGAGCGATGCCTCTTGGTGTGCTGGTATGTGTTTAACACCTGGCTTTTCTCCCAAGACAGTGCCCTGATCTGTAGCATTTGCTGATTTCTGTGGCTTTTTAAGCTAAATCTCTGATATGTATGTATATGTTTGATCTTTAATTTATGCTATGCTGTAGAACAACTGTATTTGAATTAAAAAAAATTACCAGGTCTCAAAAAAAATATCCGTGGCCAGTTTCAAGCTGGTTATGAAGTCAACCAGCTTGCAAAACTTCTGAAAATTTAAAAATTACCTCTTGTGCCAGGCTGGTGTGATTTGGTGGTTGAGCATCAACCCATCAACCAAGAGGTCACCTGTTCGATACCTAGTCAGGGCACATGCCGAGGTTGTGGGCTCAACCCCCAGTAGGGGGTGTGCAGGAGGCAGCCAATCAGTGATCTCATCATTGATGTTTCTATCTCTCTCCCTCTTCCTTCCTCTCTCTGAAATCAATAAAGATATATTTTTTAAAAATGAGGTCTTGCAAGCCACTTCTAGCACACAAAAAATTTGGGACACCCAAATCTTTTTTCCATGCAGATTTACTCTTGAATGCCAGCTCCATGTCCCTGCCTGCCTGGAAAAACATCCCATCTCAGCCTTGCTGTCGCCTCACACCCAATCAGGGGTCCCACCTTGACCCTCTGTGTAGCTGACTTGAGCAAGAAATGGGCACTTGACTGTACTGCAGAGTTTACTCTTGACTTTCCAAAACATTGACTCATTACAGGCTTTAGTTGTTATGCTGTAAAAAGGAGTGAGTGAGCCAGCGGATTTTAAGGGTTCTTTACCTTTTATAACCTGAGATTTTATATCTACAATCAAGCTAATTTGCTATTTTCTCAAAATGGCCTCTCTTTTCTTGATTTGCCCCTTTCTGTCATTCTCCCTCAAGCTCTTCCATTAACCTAAGATCAAAACTTCTTTTTCTTTAACTCTGTGCTCTCCTTTGTTCCTCACCACTGAGGTAGCACCAGACAAAAAGCCTGTTACTGCATGTTACTGCTGCTGCCGCAGGCCCTTGTCACTTCGTGACTAAGGGCACGCTCCCCACTCCAGTGTGCTCCCTGTGACACTGCTGATTCACCTTCCAAAAACACCCCCTATGCTCTTTCCTGGCTCAGAAACTTTCAGCAGTGCCCACAGTTGTTTGAGTCCTCTGACTTTGAAGTTCCTGTCGGTACCAGCTCCATCCAAGTCCACCTTTTCAATCCACACCTTCCAGAGACCGGTGTGCCTGTAGCATACCAGTCTCTGGCTGGCTGTGTGTCTTTCCCATGTGCCCAGCCCAGCACTGTGCAAGATTACCTCCCCTCCCCCTCCCCACACTGTCACTTCTCTTCAGTCCAAATCCTGCTCCTGCCCTCAGGAACACACACAGGTGTACGTTCCTTAGGATATCTTGCTTTTGCTAAGTGACATCCAGTCTGGACTGCTCACTTTTTTTTTTTGTTCTCTTTATAACAGGTTTATTGAGAGGTGATTTACATACTGTACAATTCACCCATTTAAAGTGTACAATTCAGTGGTTTTTAGAATAGTCAGATATGTGCAAGCATCTTCACAATAGTTTTTAGAACATTTTTATCACCCTCCACCCCCCAGAAAAAAACCTCTTACCCTTTAGTTATCAGTCCCCAGTCTCCCTATCCCCCCAAGTCCAAGGTAACCACTAATTACTTTTTGTCTCTGGAGATCTGCTTATTCTAGACATCTCAAATAAGCAGAATCATATAGTATGTGGCCTTTTGTGTCTGGCTTATTTCACCTAGCATAATGGTTACAGGTTTATCCATTTTATAGCATGTGTCAGTACTTATTTCTTTTTTATGGCTAAATATTCTATTGTATAGATTTGTCACATTTTACTTATTCATTCATCAGTTGATGAATATTTGGGTGGTTTCCACTTTTTGGCTGTTATGGATACGAACACTCATATACAAATTTTTGTGTAGACATGTGTTTTCATTTTTCTTGAGTAGATAGCAAGGAGTGGAATTGCTAGGTAACTCTATGTTTAACATTTTGAGTAACTTCCAGACTGTTTTCCACAGCAGCTGTGCTATTTTATGTTGTTATCAGCAACGTGTGGGTTTCTGATTTCCCACATCCTTGTCAACCCTTGTTATTATCTTTGATTATTACCATCCTAGCGGGTGTGAAATGGTATCTCATTGTAGTTTGAATTTGCATTTTTCTAATAGCTAATGATATTGAGCATCTTTTGTATATTTCCTTTGGAGAAATATTTAGTCAGATCATTTGTCCATTTTTAATCAGATTATTTTCTTTGCATTATTGATTTGTGGGAATTCTTTATATATTCTAGATACATATCCCTTGTCAGATATATGATTTCAAATATTTTCTCCCATTCCTTTGGTTATCTTTTGACTTGCTTGATTGTGTCGTTTGGTATACAGAACTTTAATTTTGTTGAAGTTCAGTATATCTGTTTTTTTTTTTTTAACTTTTCCTGCTTTTGGTATCATATCTACAAATCCACTACCAAAGCCAAGATTATAAAGATTAACCCCTAAGTAAAAGAAAAGATTTACCCCTATATTTTCTTATAAGAGTTTCATTGTTTTAGCTCCTACATTTAGATCTCTGATCTGTTTGTATATGGTATGAGGTAGGTGTTCAACTTCATTCTTTTACATGTGTAAATCTAGTTGTACCAGCACCATTTGTTGAAGAGACTATTGTTTCCCCATTAAATTGTCTTGGCGTCTTTGTCAATTGACCATAGATAAATAGGTTTATTTCTAGATTCTCAATTTTCTTTCACTGCTGTATATGCTTGGTCTTCTCTTGTCCTGTGTTATTAATTAGCTATTTGATTTGCATGGATCTTAAATACTAGAAGGACTCTGTTATTATTATTATTATTATTATTATTATTATTTTTATTTTTAGTTGCTAAAAAATTGTTCATGCTAAAAAATTAAAATGCAGAAGTGCCAAAAGTAAATTCCTGCCCCAGCTGCTCCTGTCCCTACTTGCAGGACTTTGTGTTTTTTATGTGGTCTTTTAGACTTTAACATCTGAACATACATATCTTTGTGTGTATGCATATAAGTGAAAATTCAAATGCATTTTCACATTTGTGAATATACATATGCATGTATTAACCTATTTATATTTGTATGCCTGCATATTTTTGATGATTGTATATCTCTTTTTACAAAATTGAGATATACAAAGTGTTCTATGACTTTGCAAAATCAGCAGTATATCTCATATATCCTTTTGTGACAGTTATATGTCATACTTCATTCTTTCTTAATGATTCCATAATATTTCATAGAAGGTATACAGCATCATTTCTTTAATCAGTTCTCTATTGTTGCATATTTATATTGTTTTCTTTCCTTTTTTTCTATTCCAATACTTCTGTGTACATGTGGGAGCACTTTTCTCAGCTGGATACTGGGAAGTGGAGTTACTGATCGTGGCTTTTTTTCTTTAAAGTCATTTTTACATTTTCCCCTCAACTGTGCTTTATGATGCTTTGCACATATTAGGCACTTAGTAAATATTTACTGAAGTAAATGCTTAAGGGTTTTTGTTCTTGATTTATCCTTAGCTTGTTATTTCATTTCAGTAAACTGTTTTATGACACCCTCATGCCTATTTCACTTCCTCTAAAATAAATGGAAGTTTGGTTATCCAGTCTTCATTAGAGGGAACTAAGGTGAAATGAGTATGTGTGGCACTGAGGGGTACGCAGAGGTGAGTAAGTGGAAGCCCCAGCCCTCAAGGTATTTACAAACCATTAGGATGGTGCAGGTAGCATGTGTGGTACGTCCTTAAGAGGCACACATGAGTTGTAATGGGAATGTTAAGGAAGACGAGAAATGCTGCTTCACTTGGGTACTATCAGGGAAGATCTCACAGAGGAGGGGACACTGAGATGCCCTTAAAGGAAAGGTAAGATTTGGGCCGGTAGAGGTGTACCAGGGGTGGGGGGCTGCTGGTGGATCTTGGCAGAGGAGCAGTGTAATGAATTGAGAGGGAATGAGAAAAGTGAGAAGTCGGGTTCCACCGAGTGCAGGGTGTGGGCAGGGAGCAGCAGGAGATGAAGCTAGAGAGCCAGCAAGGGACCTGCTGTGATGGGTCTGGAATCTAGACGGTGGTTTGGCACTAATCTGGTAGGTGCTGGGCCATTACAGGAGGTTTTGAAATGGAATTATATTATTGGAATTGGTCTTAAGGAAGTGGTGTCAGTGGTCAGTCTGGGGCATGGATAAAGGATAGTGTTCATTTCCAGAGGTTTCTATGATATAACTTTTTCCCATTCTTCAATTCTTCCCTTAGCTTTCTGAAAATGTGGTTAACCGCATGAAGGATCCCAGCCAGCCTTGCAAAGTGGGCCAGCTGACTTTTCCTCCTGCTCCTCCATCTTCTACATTTGGCACCTCTAAAGGCCCGGAGAAAGGTACGGCAGGTTGTAGTGATTCTGTGGAAAGCTGGAGTAGAGTGTGAAAGGAGTGCCAAACTATGCACCTGTCAGAACATATTTGACAGCTAATGTGGCTCCAGTTTGTTTCTGGGTGATGTCAACATCTCCTTTCTGATAATGACTTTTGAGGGGAGTGTGGCTTCCGTGCATTACAGATGCTGTCTGGTATAACAGCAGCAGCACAGGTTAGTCAGAGCTTCTGTGAGTGGGGCCAAACTGTTTTGCCTTATTGTTTCAGTTTCTCTCTATGTAAAAAAATAAGGCAAAAGGGCTTGGTTTGACAGCTCCTGTAAGAAGTTGCTTTTAAAGATTCATAAGCGAAGCATGATCAGTAATGTTGGTGTGGTCCAAAGAATGGTAGGGGTTTACGTGAGATGGGACAATTAGGGGGGATTGAGTCGATGACTTTGGTGTCAGCCTCAGCAACTCTAACCTGGCCTACACGTCCTGTTCCTTCTAAGAGTGGCTTCCACTCTGTACCTCCCACGAGTTCTTTTTGCATCCATGCAGGGCTCAAAGCTGATTTGTTCCCTACTCTTTGGTGCCCATCACAAATAAAGAAATTTGTGTTTTTCTCTAAATAACTACTTTCAGCAAACTTTATGGAACAAAACGTTTAAGCAGAAGGTGTAAGGTACAAAAATATAAAGCTATTACAAACCAAAAATGTCTTGAGACAATTGCTGTTCTACTCAATAAATACTTGTTTATGAGAATTTGGGTCTTAGCTATCATTTGTAACCTGATGTATTTTATTTTTTACCGATTGACTGGAGGAGCCATGGCACTGTGGAGTATAAATTCTGTCTTACAGTGGATAACTGTTCATTGTATTGTATGTGGCCTTGCATTAGAGTTGTCTTTTCTGCTAATCCTCCCTATTAAGTTGTAAGATTATAGAAGGCAGGAACTCAGCATTTTCTGAAAGCTAATCAGGGATCAGGACGTGTGCTTCATACTGGGACAGAGTGACAGGTAGACACCCAAAGCTCTAGTTAAGGAGCCAGATATACATATAACCCTGTGGGTCACATGCATCATGTGATGTTGCAACACTATGCAACATGCTTAAAGTCTAAGGTAGCACAGAGGAGCGAGTGACTCATTATTTTAGGGCAGGACTCCCGGGAGTTGACTTTTGAACTGGATTTTGAAAGAGCAGTGATAGATAGGCGGTTCAGGCTTGGTGAACAGCATCAGCAGAGGCCCAGAGATGACACAACCTGGCCTGTTTGGGGACCTAGAGACGGTTTGCTATCTCTGGAGTACAAAGTAGAAGGAAAGGGGAGGTGTCAGGGCAGTGCTCAGGAGCCAGGTCCTGGAGACCTCCGCACAGTGGCCAGAGAGCTCCAACTTCATCCTCATGGCCAGGGTGCAGGCCAGGCCTTCTACACCTCTGCCCCTGTATTGTCTACCTCAGGGCTTCCTGAGCTTTAGGGCAAATCAGTACCTGGATTTGGATCTGCCCCAAGATCTTTATGAATATTCTATTAGTGAAGGGGCTGAGTGATGTTCTCAAAATCCACACAAGATGCCCTGTCCTTTATCAAAAGGGCTAGCTCCCATGATTTCTTTAGCCGACTGATGAGTTGAAGTGGGTCAAACTTAACCCAGGGCATTTTAATAAACTGCATTAACTGGTGAGAGGAAGTGATGAGAAAAACAAAATTGCTAAAATATATTATGCACACATCAATTTTAGCTTTGGATAATAAAAGAAGCACTCATTTCAGTTTTGGTAAGTTTCAGTAGTTTAAGAAGCAAGAATTGTGGCTCATTTGTCATTTGGTTTTAGTTATAACAAAGCGTTTTGCTGTTTAAATGATTGATGAGTATGAGTTTTGAGTTTCTGAATGCTTCAAGTCAGCATAAATGGACTGTCTTGAAGTTGACTAATTTTAAAATATTTCTACTTTTAAAATCAGTGTTTGCTTTTATTTTAGTGATAGAACAAATTAGAAAAAGAAGTTAAAATTAAACCCTTATGTTGTACCATACCTCAAAACAAATGTCAGAGGCAATACAAGATTTAAATATAAGAATTGAAGCCATAAAATTACAATGGTACATAAAAGTGCAATCAGTAGATTTTCTAAGCACTACATCAAGTAAAGAAACCCTAAATTATGAAGAAAAGTGAGTAATGTAAGTATAAGAAATTAGAAACAATTTAGAAAAAATAAATGAAGTATGAATAATAAACTGGGAAAATATGACAGAGTATTGGTGGTTTTAATATATAGAGAAATTTTAAAGATTCTTAAAAGAAAATGTACACAAATGGTCATATGCATGTGATGAAATTCTCAACTTTCTTAATGATCAAAGACACATATTAAGTAATGAGAGTTACCATGGGGGCAGGGAAAAGGGCAGGCTTGTACATGGATGGAAGGTGGGAGTGTGGATTAGTTTACATTGTCTACAATGGACTGATATTTTTGTAGCAATAAAAAAGGAAAATTGTATAAGAAGCAAAAATAGGATAAATTATACCTCAGTAAAGCTGTCGTAACAAATAAGTAAGAATGGGGAACATTAATGTCAAAATAAGAACTGGTCAGCAGTATACTATTTTTTATTTCCATTCGAGAAACTGTCATGTTACTCTGGAGCACTTAGGTGTGCCCTCCTTGCAGGCTGGAGCTCGGCTGCGCCCATCCTTCTGTAGAGTCTGAAAGTGTGAATCATAGGATGGTTACTTTTGGAAATGACTCTGAAGGGTTGCGTGCTCCAGCCTGTGAGTTCAGCATGCTTTAAAAGGTCTTGGGAGTGAAATGCCAAATCCCCACATATTCTTTCACAAAGCCTACTTCTTCTAAAATATTTTGTGCAGTCCTACTCACTGCTGCTTTTAGAAGCCTGTGATGGAGGTGTAGGACACTTGGCCAAGGCCACAGAAAAGTGTTGAAATTTGGCTGAGAGGTGGTTTGAGAAGTATAAAGCCTGAGGGAGGGAGAAGAACAAAACCCTCAGAGTCACTAAGCAGTGACGAGAGTAGAGTGAGTTGGAAATACTCAGAAATCTCCAAGTTCATGGCCATCAAAAGGTAGACCTACTGTGACAACTTAAAGAACCCAATAATTCTAGAGGTGATCCAGGTAAAATGATATATAAAATACCATTAATAGGGGGTGTTTGCCACATTCAGGATTAGAAATTCGTAGAATGGGGTACTAAGGGAAACAAGATTTAAGGAACCTCCTTTCCCCTCCTGTCTCCCATGTCACACCCAGACCCTGGAGACTGTCCTTTCAACATAAAGCGTGAAGTGGTTCCTCAGCTGTTCTTGGCCTCTGTTTAGTAGATGACCTAGGGGCCAGGTAATTGTAGAGTGAGTAGGGATGGATTTGAAACGCTGCACTCAAATAGTTCTGCTTGCCACCAGTCCCATGCAATAAGAGGTCCTGGTGCAGAATGAGGGAGTGGAAGGCCTTTGGGCTGTCACTCTCCAGAATAGTTGGATCAAGGATGTGTCCATCCCTGGGGACTGTCCATCCCTGGGAGTGCACTCCTGAGCTCCTTTCCTGGATGACCACCATTTATCCTGGGGTGCTGCTGACAGGCCTCTTCTTCTCGTCCCTTTGCAGACTCCAAACTGCCCAGGTCGGGGTACGGCGGTGGCCAGCAGCCCTCGGGAATTGCGGAGGATCTCCCTAACAGGTAAGTGTGAGTGCCTGCTCACCCCTGGCTCTGTACTGGCTGAATGATCTTTCCTCACTGGGGACCTTTCCCTGGCCTGAAGGCTCTAGGGTTTGTCTCACATATTTTGTATTATTTAGATTGCACGACTGCCCTATGATATAGGTGGTACTGGTCCTTGTTTAAAGATGAAGAAACACCAAAAGGGGCATGTGGGAGTTGATTGCTAATGTTTTCAAAAATTCACTTGAAAAAGCCAGGACTAAATAGTTGAGTGTCTGGACTTTCTGGGCCTGTGTGCATGTGCAGGCATATTTTTAGAGATATGAAGGAGAAAGTGGAGCCCTCACAATTCTAACTGTAGTTGGTGAGATGGACGAGGCTTCAGGATGCTGGCGACTTCCCATCAGCACGAGCCAGTACTCTGAACTGGGACCTGCTCCCCTCCCAAGGCTTGCAGAACAGTGGTTAAGGCACAAAGGCCCTCCTGGAGTGCAGGTTTGCATTTTGATTTTCCAACTCACGGGTAATCTGACCGTGGAAAAGCACTGTTTCTCTCTGAGGCCTCTGAGGAGGTAATTCCTGTACCTCTTTCATTGGAGTATTGTCATGATTAAATATGTTAATGCATTCAAAGCACACAGTGCCTGGCACCCAGAGTTCTCAGTGAATGCTAGTTAGTTGTTACCAATCAATTTCTTCAACACCCTTGAAGACACTGGCCTCTGTGACAGAGGGGCCAAGTAAATTTGTTTCAAGAGGTGCAGTGTCAGCCACAGTTGGTTTTCTCCTTCCAGTAGGTCAGCCATGTGGGTCTGTCCCATAGATGGATTAAGATCCATATCCTAAGAGTCTCACCTCACTAATCCTAAGAGGCCTCTCCAAGAATAACTAACCTGAACCCCCTTTTTGGATACTTTTAGACAGTTAAAAAGTGACCAAGTAATACATGCTAATGAAAGACTTAGAAAATACATAAAATGAAAAAAGCCATCCATGGATTCATCATTTCTAGACAACCATTGTTAGTATTTTGGAGTGTTTCTTTAAAATGTGTTCTTTTCCCTAGTTTGGGATTATTTTTTCAGTCATATATAATTTTTTATTTTGCTGTTTTCACTTAGTATTATAATTTTTTCCATTTGTTACACATGCTTTATAAACATTTTTATTGCTTAAAGTAGTTTATTAGTTCTCAATTTTTAGATCCAACCTATAGACAAATCAAATAATGTGTTTTTTAATGATGATATAATATGCCATTGTGTGATTATACCAAATGTCTAACAATCAAGGTCAAGTTAAAAGGTATTTCAGTTGTGTGCATTTTTTATATTATAATAAATAATACTACTAACAACATCTGAGTACTAGTAGCTTTCTCTCTCTCTTTAGTGTTATTTTACTGGGCAGAAAGCCCAGCAATAGTAAAAGGTTAGGAACAGATTCAGAATGAAGAGTTACATGTTCAAAACAAAGGGCTGCTGCTATCTAAAAACCTTCAAGCTCTCAAGTGGAGGCAGGGAAGGTGGGCTTCCTACCCTTCCTACCCACTTTTTAAAGAGTAACTAGCGAGGGATTGAAACCCTGCCCCAAGAATTTCTCATTTGGCATATGGCTGCCTGATTCCTCACTCAGTGGTCAGCTTTCCTTCTGTTTCTAATCTATATTGTTCTGGCTGAGAAAGTGTCACTGTCACAAAGTATCACAATCCCCTTGCCTTGGGGGCTGTCACTGATGCCTAACCTCCAAAGGGTCAGGCAGTGTGGGCTTTCACAGTACTCTCTCTGGCCACCCTCAGAGTTCCACTGGCCCACAGGTCCCAGTCCCCTGAGCAGCTGAAGTGAATGTACAAACTTTTTCTTGGCTACCTTCTGCCAAGTCATTATATCTGCACCTGCTTCTCCCATGTCTCTCCTGGCACAGGTATAAACAGCAGCAGGCTATAATCCAGGATGAGCTGTTTCAGGCGCTGAGGAGGGAAAGAGAGGCAACCAAGGAACCCTGGAGCACATGCCTGCATGGAGGGGAGGGCAGCGTTGATGAGGAGAAGCAGAAGTCAGCCCTGCTGGTGAGTGCATATCTTCCTGAGCTGGCCTTTCATGCTCTCGCAGTACAGGGAAGCAGAGGTCGGGCTGGGGCCTGATCTCTCTGAATCCCGGGGCTCAAGCTGCCCATCCGATGTCCTCCTAGTCATCTTTGTGGAAAGGGTGTATTTTTAGGGACCAGGAGCTTGAATTCTTGTAATCCTTGCTCTGGTACTGATAAACTTTGCTACCTCTGGTCTGTGTTATCTCTGGGGATGTCAGGTCTATAGTGTAAGGGCTGGATCATTCGATGGCCTGGTTCTGCTCTGAAACTTGACAGGTGTAAGTGCTACAGTGGTATGTGTGCCAGAAGGGTGTGAAGGGGGAGGACTGAGTCTTGGGGCCATGTAGTAAATGAGATGTTAAGTTTGTAGAGATAGGCAGCCCGGGTGTGAATCCTAGTTGTCTCCTTGTTAGCATGGGCACATCCTCTAGTGTCCATGAGCCTTGGCCAAGGATTAGGATGTTTATACACAGCATTGCCTAAGGGGTCAGTGGAGGTGATAAGTGACTGTGCAGAGCTTAGTGCTCCCCGGCACATCATGAATGTGTGCTATTGCTGCTGTTATTGTTATTTATACATTTAACTGATGGGAGACTGTTAGTTAGGAGCCATTCTGCTGTAAGTGCACAGATGTTCAAAGTGTGCAGTAGTCACATAAGAAATTCTGGTTGGACTGGGCCCTCTGGGAAATACGAACAATGTAGGGTCCTTTCCCTTGGGAAATTTTCAGTCTAGTGGGGAAGATAGACTTATACCAAACACTTTGGAAAAGGCCAAATTGGTTACATTAAGTGTGAAATGGAGGTAAAGGTAATATGCTTAGGAATGCTAAGGCAGTGGTGCCAACTGCTGGTGGAAGAGATGGCATTTGACCTCAGCCTTGAACAATGTGGAGCCCCCAGGCTGAGGGAGCAGCTGGGCTGAGACAGGTGGATATCCTGGAGTTGATAGGACACTGAGAAGTGAGTGAGGTATGAAGACAGATTAGGGAAGGCCTCGGATACCTTGAGTGGTTAACCCACAATATAGCCCACAGTGACTCTGAAACTGCAGAGGATTCCCAATTCATAAGGATGGGAACAATGCGATTTGACTTATGTTTTTAGAACCCCGTGGCATCCTGGTGAAGAATCAATTAATGTAGAGAGAAACTGGAGTGAGAACACAGTTTTAGAGGCTCTTGCAGTTAGTCTCTGAGGGACAGGCAGGTTGTCACCCCTTTGCAGGCAGCCTGAAAACCAAGTCAGAAGGACCCTGGTCCTGGAGATGAAGGGTTAATCAATATGGCATGAGCAATGGAAGTTGGCCACCTAGGACGGTGATCTAGCATGGAAAATCGCAGCCTCCAGGTGTGGTATCTATTCTCACCTGGAATGTGTTAATTACAGTGAATGTGTTAATTACAGCTTCCCTTTTCCACCTGCAAAGGAGAAAGCTGGGCCCTGCTTTCTCAGAATGTCCCTGCAAGAGAACCTGTGTAAGTGGGAAGCAACACAAATGACCTTCAGTAGGTTTTTTTAAATAAAGGGTGACTTTGTAGTAAAGGAGATAACATCCTTACTTGACTCCCGCCCCCAGATCTCTGGATGAGTATGGGCTTCGGAACCAGAGTTCCTGGGGCATAGCGAAGCAAGCGACCTCCTTCGTTTTGAAGATGTTTAGCAACTACTTTGGTGGGCGTTCCCATTTTTTTGACTTCAGCATCCATTTCTTCATGCCTTTGGTTGCCCTGTTTTCTTTTGGGAACTTACTTGTTTCCTGATGTTGCATCATCTTGCTGGGATTGCAACTCTAATGCCCAACTTCCTCTATGGAAGCTAGGTCTCTTCTTTCCCCCTGCCATGGTACAGGCAGGATCTGGGCACTGGCCCAAGGGCAGCCAGTCAGGTCCTCTCTCCGGGGACTTTCAGTTTTGACTGAGTGAAGAGACCAGGGTAGGGGGCCAGGGTGGGTTTTTTTGTTGCATGACTGACCAGGATTGTCATCCTGTGAGGCTGCCCTTGGTTTCTGTCTGGTCCTCTGGCCTTCCTGAGGATTGGATCATCTGCTGGTAACCTGCTATCAACTCTCCCTTGTTTCAGTTAGCTGGTGTTGGTTTCTGTTTTGGTGCTATAGCAGATGCAGAGCCCAGTTTTAAAGGCTTACAACCACATTCAAAACTCAGTGCAAACAGAGAAGGGAAGCTAGTACCAGGCCCTGTTCTGTAAGTCATTAGGGGCACGAGGTACTCACCTAGATGCTGAGTGAAGCTGTAGCCATCACTTCCATAGTGGGTTGGTGTAGTTATTAGCATGTGCTTTTCGTGGAGATAATTTCAAAACTGTGCTTTGTAGGATTTAAATAGGAGGAGAAAGATGGAGAGAAGAACCTGAACAGAAGCACAGAGAATTTTCTTTCTTCACCTGCGTCTTCCAGATGCAAGGATTGAAGGAGCTTGCTAGGCAGAGCACTTAAGGGTGTTGGGATCACAGCATGTCCTCCTCACCAGGAGGCCAGGCTGCACGCCGAGGCAGACCAGGCATGGTCCCTGGCTGAATGAGCTGGTTGCACCCCAAGGGAGACAAGGCATGGTTGCTGGCTGAATGAGCTGGCTGCCCACTTGTTCTTGGTGGCTCCTCTGATTAGTGTCCTCAAGCCCCGCACCCGTGAACCTGCAGCCTTGCCTGAAGGGTTTCCTTTTGTGTTGCCTGAGTGCAGTTTGACATTTAATGTGCGCTTCTGCCCTCTCTCTTTGCCTCTGACTTTTACAATATTGATTTTTTAATCCCTTTCTGCATGAAGGAATGTTTCAGCTCATTATTGGAAAGAGTTCATAAAATTAATGACAAGGAAAGGTAATAATTTTTATAACCTACTTCTGATGAGACGTGTTATGATTTCCCCTCTAGAGCATCAGTGATGAACTGTTTTTGAGCATGTTTATGCCTGATTCTTTCCACTTGCCGACTGGTAAAGCCCCAGTTATAACTGGGGCGATGGCCCTGGATGTCAATGGAGCCTGTGTGAGGTGTGCTTCTCTCTGAATTAGGGGAGGAAATTTGGTGTCCAAATCAATGTTTTGGAGTCCAAAACATTCTAGAGAGAAATAAGAAAGAATAGAGTACCATAGGGCTTCTCTCCATCTCCTGCCTGGCTCTCAGGTGCCAGCAGGCCCTGTGCACCTGTTCCTCGGGGGTGTGCGTGGAGGGTGCTCATTCAGTTCTTCCCCACATCCAAGTCTTTTATACAGTATAGTTAAAAAAGAAGATTCTGATAACCGAATTTATTCCACTCTTCCTTGTTATTATCATTGCTTTGAAGCACTCTTCACCCCCCAGGGAAAATGAAAAGGGCAAAGTAAAATGACTTATCTCATTCCTTTTCTGAATGTTTAGGCCCATATGGCAACTAATGTATAGGGTCAGTCCATCTACAGGACAGGTAGAATCTCCCAGAGCCAGGTATAAAGGGACATACCACGCAGCAGACCATCTCTATGCCCCTGCAGCCACATTTGCTCAAAGAGCAATGGTGTGTACATTTCATTATTTTAGAGAGGTGGAATAATTAGTTGGAAGGAGCATTGTGAGGCCTCCTGGGTTTTTATTTATTAAGGTCAAAGTTAAAGTAATCTGGCCTTGGAGAAAAGGAAACTACAGATAGGCTTACATGAAAAATGGTTCAACTATATTTTTAGCCAATTGCACACCAAAAAAAGAACTTAGATTTTCTTTCTCATATATTTTATACAAATTGGCGGAGAGGGAGGGCATAAAATCCGGACATGGCATCCATTCACAGCCTGAGTCTGGCACTAAGTCCAGGGATGGCCCTTCGTGTGTGAAGACTGAATTGGGGTGCCCGTCTTGTGGGTGGTTGTGAGGATCGACCAGGAGAGCAGGTAACCTAATTGCTGGCACCCAGGTGCTTGAGGAAGCGGACAGGTTATTCTGGGACAGTGAGGCAGACAGAGCACTGCATCCAAATGCCTGCTACTGGGATCCTTTTACTCCGTTACATTGTTTCCTTCTTTGTGGAATGGGGGTAGACAGGGTTTCACATTGTTGGCAGTGTTATAATTTGTTCTCTTCTTCACCTCCACTTGTGTACCCAGGACACAGAGTTGATGTGAACTGATTCTTAGAACAGAACAGCCATGTAGGCCTCTGACCATTTGTCTGAAAAGAGAGGTAGAGCCTCACAGAAACACATTTTTTATGAGTAGAGGCCTTGGGGCTTCCCAGATGTGTGTTACAGGTGTAGAATGAGGGCCCTACGGTGGCTTTGCTGCTGCCAACTGTCTTACCTACTTCACTTCGCTCTTTGTCCATCTCTGCCCAGCGTCTCAGCCGCTGTGCGTCAGAATCAACTGGAAATTCGGTAGAAATACACACTTGGTTCTCACTCTGGAAACAACTGGGTTAGATTCTTTGTTGCCCTGACCCTGGAATCTGTGTTTTTAACAGCTCCTATGTGGTGCTGGCACAACAGGGCCAGAGCTAGCTCCTGGGCTAACAGTGGGAGCCAGGGACACCAGAGGGAGGGACTCACAGCCCCTTTTGCTATCTGGACCACTAAGGGATATGGAGTGTTCCCATTGATGCTGTGGCTCCCTGGGCAGGGACTCTGCTGTTTGAAACATTCATCAGGTAACTAATGGCCCTGTCCCTGACACAGTTTGCTGACCACCTGGATGCCTTTATCAGACTTCTCAGCCTCAAAGGAAAGCAGGAACTTTTTTCTTTGGTGAGGATAGCTAGGAAAGAGAATCAGCTGTCTGCTGGTACCATATGCCCTGGGAGAGGTCTGGGTGAGCTAGACTCAGCATTTTAGGGGACTGGGCATAAGAAAATGTTGCTAGAGGCCAGGTGGTGATTGTCATGGGACATGGGGGATGCCAAATGGCACCCATCAGACTCCCAGCAATAACCTGACTTGTGTGAGAGCCCAGGCTCTCGGTTCCTTGCAGCAGCAGCCCCTGTAATGCTGGAGGCATGTGGC